ATCACGGTCTACGCGGGCGCACCTCCGGCGTTTCACCGCTGCTGATATCGCGGTGATTTTAGCAAATTTGTATGAAGAAAAACGAAAAACCCACCATTTCAATCCAGGTTAAAAAAGCATTGTGACGTGCGTTACTGACATATGTACCAAGTAAAATAATACGCGCGTGGAGCAGCACGTCCTGTGCTTGTAGATTTCAGAAAATAGGATCCATCCTATTTTTTGACGCTCTACACGAGCGTAGGCGCGTATCTCCGTCAAAATCCACAGAGAGCATGTATCTATTGTTGTATTTGTGCATTTACCATCAGCACATTGTGCTCCCTGGGCAGTTGTGTATCATGTGAAAGAGCCCAGATCCACACAGACTGTTAATTAGAGCTTTGAAATTTACTTTCGAAATCCTTGCGTTTGCCGTGGTCAGCCTGTACAGAAGGTAAATACAAGCAGCTAAACGCGCCCAGTCAAGTTTGATTGACTTTCCCATTGAGAGACACAAGAGCCCGTACGTTCCGCTAAAGCTGCCGGTGGAGTCGCCTTCGCGTTGACACGCGGCTGTGGTTTCGCGAGGTGAAGTGCGAGCAGATCGTCACTCGTCAAATTCCGACGTTTAACTAAACCCCAACAGTGACGTACGTCGTTCATCACACATAATTTGAACAAATTCACGTTCAAGTTCTTGATTTACAAAAGTGTTGCGTTCAGTTCAAAGTTCACTGAAAAATGAACGTGTTCAATGAACGCGCTCTTTTGAACTCGTTCATGCACAACACTGCCCACATGTCACTCATTTTTCCATTACTTTATAAACGATTTATTTACACTTTCTACCAGCTGTTACCTTATGTTTTTTTTTTTTCGATTTAAGGTCATTAAATGTGATAAACTTTTAATTTAATCACCAATAGATTTCATTTCTGGTTTGAAATGAAATAGCTTTGTGCTCTCTGCTCTAGTCTGCTTGCATAGGTTAAATAGCAGTTTAAAATGTGTCACAAACAAACAAACAAAACAAAAACACATATCACCAGCAGCATAGACCTACATATACAAGGGTGCAAATAGGATATGCATATTAGATGTAGTTTGTCCGTGAATGAGTTGCCGTACTTCCTGTTTCTGGTTTAGATGAGGCACAAATCTGTAATCCTACATTACGTCAAATTTAGTCTTGTGAGCTTAAAGTCATGTTAGAATGTTATTTCCTCAACAAAAACAGACCTGGAGTTGTGTTTTGTTTCATTTGTACCTTCTCTTCATTGTCCTGCAGCACCACACAGCAGCCTCCAGGGGGCGCACGGTGAACACAACATTAAAGACACCTCATTTACACCAACTCCGTCGCACATCCGGTTCGAAACCTGCACTGTCGGGCAAGTTACTTCAAAACTGTAATGTGTTATTTATGACTTATTACTGTGATTTTAAAGTAATCTGTTACATTACAATATTACTATATTTAAAATATAAGACATTACACAAATATTGCAGCATTTTAAGTTACTATCATCAAAATGACTGTGCAAAGATGCCGAACTTTTGAGCCGTATATGGACTAAACCAGGACTGAACCAGGACTAGACCAGGACTAGACCAGGACTAGACCAGGACTAGACCAGGACTAGACAGGACTGAACCAGGATTGAACCAGGATTAAACCAGGCATGAACCAGGACTAAACCAGAGCTAAACCAGAGCACAGGACTGAACCAGGACTGAACCAGGACTAAACCAGGACTAAACCAGGACTGAACCAGGACTAGACCAGAACTAGACCAGGACTAAACCAGGCATGAACCAGGACTGAACCAAGACTAAACCAGGACTAAACCAGGACTGAACCAGGACTAGACCAGAACTAGACCAGGACTAAACCAGGCATGAACCAGGACTGAACCAAGACTAAACCAGGACTAAACCAGGACTGAACCAGGACTAAACCAGGACTAAACCAGAGCTAAACCAGCGCATAGGATTAAACCAGGACTGAACCAGGACTAAATCAGGCATGAACCAGGACTGAACCAGGACTGAACCAGGACTAAACCAGGACTAAACCAAGACTAAACCAGAGCTAAACCAGCGCATAGGATTAAACCAGGACTAGACCAGGACTAGACCAGGATTAGACCAGGACTGAACCAGGACTAAACCAGGACTAAACCAGGCATGAACCAGGACTAAACCAGGACTAAACCAGGACTAAACCAGGACTGAACCAGAGCTAAACCAGAGCTAAACCAGCGCACAGAACTAAACCAGGACTGAACCAGGATTAGACCAGGACTAGACCAGGACTGAACCAGGACTAACCCAGAGCTCAACCAGAGCACAGGACTAAACCAGGATTAAACCAGGACTGAACCAGGACTAAACTAATCTTGGACTAGAACTTGGAATCTAGGACCGCCCCTGAGAGAACCCTGAGCCCGTGGAGCAGAGTGTCTGCAAAGCGTGATCGGGCAGCGGCTGCTCTTCGCCCCGTGGAGCATGGAGTTCTGCACTGGTCCTTTCACCCGTAGCCACCCGATGGTCTATGCAGGTGCACCTCCGGGCCTGTCCTGACTTTCGTAACCATAAATATGGCGTTTCACTGCTGCTGATATCGTGGTGATTTTAGCTGTGATTTTAGCAACAAAAACCCACCACTTCAATCCAGGTTAAAACACAGTGACGCTCGTTACTGACATTTGTACCAAGTAAAATATTACCATTTTTTCTGTGTAATGCCACATTACTGCATCACAGCAAAAAGCAATGCATTACAGTAATTTGTTACTTTTATGACACGTTACTTCCAACACTGGGAACCTGTGCGTCTCCCGTAACAATTAGAATGGGTTCTTATAAAATGAGATTTTGTCCGATTTCATTGGGACTTTACAGTATCAAGACGGAAAGTAAAGTTACAAGTTCAAAGTTTTACGTAAAAAGATTAGAAGAAGTCTAACCTTCTACTGAGGTTCTTTCGACAACAAAGTCTGATCGTTTATTTTAGTATCTATCAAACTGATTTAATAACAATCATACTTTTTTTCCCACAACAATAATGTCAACAACTGTGGCCAAGTGGAGGTTAAAATACCATAAAAATGTGGAACAATGCCACCTAGACTTGGAACTGTTTTAAAGTTTTAAAAGTTGTAAAACAAGGTGAGCAGTGTAAACAGCAAAGTACAAAAGCTGAATACTTCAAAAGAGTCATTTATTACAAAAGTCAAAATATGAAAATAAAACCAATTGGATCCAGTGATAACTTAGACTTTGACAAACTTTACTGATTATTGAAGGGAAATAATTTGGACATTGTAACTCACTCATCACAATAAAATATTATAACAAAGAAAAAAATATATATAAATGGTACCGTATTTTCCGCAGTATATGGCACCCTTAAAAGCCTTTAATTTAATCAAAAAATAACTGCCTTATAATCCAGAGCGCCTTATATATGAATTTATTGGGGCGTCTTAGTACGACTTTAGTAAACTACAAAGCCACACCACTTGCAGCGTTACGGCTCCCGTAGTCAGGAGCATCATGGAGAAATACATACTGTGATTCCTTTTAATATCAAAATGCACCTGTCAAGAGACACATTTACAACACCCACTTTAAACTCAAGGCTGTTATAAAGTGAAAGTGTGAGCTGTGTGGGAGCAGTGGATGAGAGAAGGAGAACAACATTCACCAAGACAGGGAGACAGCACCGAGCAACTTGCGCCACGATCTGCCAATGGATCGTGGACGCCTGGACTAAGGATCAGTATCAACTGTAGTTTGAGCTTTCACCAAGACCAGAATCATCACTGAACTGCCAGGGAAAAGTAACCACACTGACTCGGATAATGACGAGAGGGATGTGGTCGTGCTGGATGCCGTAATCACCCAACTGTTTGAACAATTATGAGTTATTGTGAATACACTAACAATTTAGCCTCTCAGACAGTATTTTTGTTTTTTTATGTGGTAAAATTGAACAAAGTTGAGAGTTATTGTGAACGTGCTCAATAAAGTTTAACTGACTAATCTACCTGTTGTATTTCGTTTAATGTGACTTATAGTCCGGTGCGGTTTATATTTGAAAAAAGTTTGAAAACAGACCATTCAATGACAGAGCGCTTTATAATCCAGAGCACCCTCTAGTGCAGAAAATACATACATTCTAAATAAGTAGCAAAAAAGATAGTAAGAGACAGGTGTCAAATAAAACGCTGAGGTATTTGTAGCAGTCCACTATTTCCACATAATGGCCCTGGATGGTTACAGGCTTCACTGGTGTTCTGAACTCAGTCACCAGTTCCTTGGTCTTAACAACGTTCAGGAGCAGATGGTTTGCCTGGGACCACTCCACAAAGTTTGCAGTCAGTGTCCTGTACTCCAGCTCCTGTCCATCTCTGATACATCCAACCACTGCAGAGTCACCAAAGAACTTCTGCAGGCACCCGTAGCTGTACTGGAAAGGACTCGTAAACCTCAGGAGTTCCTGTACCCAGCAGCCACTCTCAGGCACTCAGGGCGTGAATGAATGAATGAATTAAATAACATATTAAAAAAGTCCATTCAAACTGGAGGGGGGTTCTGGGGGTAAAATACAAAATGTGTGAGTCTGTTCTGTAAAATCAAGGGTGGCAGGGGCCATAACCCATGCTGTTATAATAAGGTGTTTGTGTGGCTGGGCAAGTTATCCTAGAACTAAAATGATACTGTGATCAGCACAGATCTGGTTGGTGTGTTTCCTCCTCGCTCTGGCCCTCACCTGCATCTCCGTTTCCTCTTCGTTCTGGTCCTCGCCTGTGTCACAGTTTCCTCCTCGCTCTGGTCCTCGCCTGTGTCACAGTTTCCTCCTCAATCTGGTCCTCACTCTTGTCCTTGCCTGCGTCTCCGTTTCCTCCTCGCTCTGGTCCTCACTCTGGTCCTTGCTTGTCTCCGTTTCCTCCTCGCTCTGGTTCTCACCTGCATCTGTTTCCTCTTCGCTCTGGTCCTTGCCTCCGTCTCCGTTACCTTCTCGCTCTGGTCCTCAGTCTGGTCCTTGCTTGTCTCCGTTTCCTCCTCGCTCCGGTCCTCGCCTGCGTCTCCGTTTGCTCCTCGCTCTGGTCCTTGTTTGCGTCTCCATTTCCTCCTCGCTCTGGTTCACGCTCGTCACCGTTTCCTCCTCGCTCTGTCACTGGTGGACGCAGAAGTCCAAAGTCGTCTGACCGCTTTTTCGAACACCTAACCCAATAGAAAGGTTTTCAGTGGTCACATGACAATAAGGATTGGCTCATCTCCTCTGTGGGAGGGAAACGCTCAGTCCATATTTCCCTGTGCACAGATGGACTGGAGTGTGCTAGATCACAATTTATATGGAAGAGTCTTGACCAGGGGTGGGCAATTATTTTTCCATGGGGCCACATGAGAAATAGAAAGTATTGCGGGGGGCCAGGCCAAAATGCTTAACTCAGTTATGCATATTAATAGTACACATGTCTTGATTTACATACCGTGTCATTTTGTACGTGAATTAAAAAAAAAAAAAAAACCACCTCTAAAATAAAAACAATGCAGCTTTAGTCCATGAATAAAATAGTTTAAACGGGCCGGTCAGAGTCAACCGAAGAGCCTTATGTGGTTGGAGAACAGTACAATGCCCAGGTCTGGTCTTGTCAAAGAAATCAAAGGGTCGTGTGCAATAATGGCATTTAATAAGAAATACATAAAATCCAGTACAATGGTATGAATCGATAAAAAGTAGTTGTGCATAAAAGTGAAGATATATGTTTGCAACTGATTAATATTTGTGATTGAAATTAAATGTATTGTATCTCCTTACACAAACTTAACGCTTGTGAGCTTTAAGTCATGTTAAAGTGTTGTTACTTCATCAAAAACAGACCTGGAGTTGTGTTTTGTTTCATTTACACATGTTTGAGTGTCCCTTTATTATTAGTCTATGTACATCTCCAAAGCTCAAAATGCTGTTCCACCTCGTGATGTCATATAGTAGTAAATTTTAAGTTAACAGCTCCTTGTACCTTTTGTTCAGCAAAGATTGGTTTCTAGTGAAGGTGTGTAGAGTTTAAAAATACAATGGGGCACTTCCTAAATTACCACATGACATCGCAAGGTGGAACAGTGTTTTGAGTTTAAGAGAAAAACTCAGCCTAAATATGCAGGTTTGTGTGTGAATGAAACAAAACAACTCCAGGTCTGTTTGCAATTAGGAAACAATTTTATTACATATTGCGTAATATGGGCCCTTTAAAGTAACTATCAGTGTTTTAAGACATCTTCAGACCTGTCCAGTGCTTGCAGCTTGCAGCCAAAACATCTCAAGAAGGTCAACACACTTATGTATTATACTGTTGTACTGTATTATATGAACACCTTTACTTATTTAAAACAACAACAGCACACAGAAAACATTAATATCAAAGAGAAAAGATGTTCTGCACCAGATTTAGCTACAAGCTACTTTTCATCTGCAGTCCCTGTGCAGATACAGAGTACAGTTTAGTTTTTTTGTTTTTGTTTTGACTTTATCAATGAAATGACGAAGCCCCCAGCCTATTTCAGAACAGTTGGGCCAGGAGTTTGGTGATGAGGGAGATCTCATGAGCCACACACACAAAGATGAAGCTACTGACCAGGATGTTGAGGGACGGGTTTCTCGGGATGAGCACTAAGATGCCCTTGGTGTCTGCTGCCAGAAAGATGTGGTACTGACAGATGAACAGCTGGGCACACAGCACACTTTGGGGTTAGTTTTATTCTTCTAGGAACAGATTTGACACCCTGGATCTTACCTCCAAAGAGATTTTCCCAAACCAGGCAAAAAAGGAGCTGTAGACAGAGCGAGCAAAGCCAGGAATGTTCCTGATGAGAATGAAGGCCAGAATCTGAGAAGGCACAGGAGCATCACAGAGAGGTTAGTACTAACTTTACCCTATTGACTTTATTCAAATGAATGTGTGCAATATGACAACTACAGTGACCTCAGAGGACAAATAAAGATGAAATCAGTAATATCATCTCTACTCTGTTTGGAGGCTAACATCACCTACCGGGAGCACAGAGATGTAGGGGTGAATCTCGTTGCACTGCTCTTTGGTTTGGCAGTTGCTGGCCCAGACTGAGTATGTCTAAATTAAAGAGGATACCACAGGTTAGGAAGCCTTCACTTTGCTCTGAGAAGCACTAGTGTGTCAGGTCTTCATCCAGCATGAACTACAGCAAGAGTCCAACACTTACAATGAAACAGAGTCCAGACAGGAGCAGCAGGGGCAGGGAGACTTTGGCTGAGAACAGAGCTTCTCCTCTGGTCTCCGACAGCACCTGTTTCTTCTGAAGGAGCAGATAGAGGAAAGCAAACACCATCCCATGTACCACGGCCTGCAAACACATGGACATTCACATCCACATCCAGTGGAACAGAGCAGTTGTGGAGCTACAGCACCAATGCACTTACAAACCGATCCAGTCTCCAGCGGAACCACCACTCCTGGATGTTGCCATTGAGTTCAAACAACTTCGAAAGTGGCCACGATGTGAAAGTGATCTCAAACACGCCCTGCACATTTGAACAAACATGTGTCATTCAACAGCTTTCCAACAGTGTTGAGGACATGTGCCTCTGGAGGGACTGTGCTGTTACCTGTGAATAGGCAAAGAGGCAAATGAGCAGCACGAGGCCCACTAACTTGAGCAGGATTCCCAAGTACCACAGGGCACTGACTGTCAGAGAGAAGAACACATGTGAGGGAGCACCACGGGCATTTGCAACATTAAAGTTGTACCTACTGCTGACTTTCTTCTGCACAATCTGAGGCCACATGGCCAGAACAATGTAGATGATCATAAACCAGAACGTCACCAGAGGAACGAAGTAATAGAACTGGTATGGCCTGTCCATCACCGCACACAACACCAGCACCAGGAAGTTGAGGCGGAATAGCACCTGCAGCACAAGCACAGTCATGCTGGTGCTGTAGGAGCACAAAGCATGGAGGATGTAGAGCTGCACTCACCTGGCACACTCTGTACAGGCCAAAGTCCCCTTTGAGCCAGAAGAAGGAGAAGTGTCCATAACCTGTTTGGAAGAGATAGGCTGCCACCAGCACACGCACATGCATGTAGACTGGAATGAACTGAGACACACAAGAATCAGCTTCTGCTTTGAGACTGCACAGAGAATACAGAAGGAAACAGGACTTACAGCACTGGCTCCTGAAATATGATAGATGAGAATGACCAACTGCATCCAGCCCTTCCACTCATCTGTCTGCTCCCTGTTCAGCACACGGCTCTGGGACACAGCACACAGTGTCAAATTGTGTCAGAGGAACCAGGGTGGTGTGCACAAAGTTCAGAGAAAAGCAGCTCCATGTGTAGAAGGACACAGGCCTGTGCTCACCTCTTTGGTGCTCTCACTGCAGAACAATCCCAGCACAAAGACAATGATCAAAGGGACGAAGAAGGCAGAGTGACTGTAGGATTTCTGTTCCTTCATAAACACATCTGCTCTGTCACACAGGTAGAAGTAGACCATGATGAGTCCCATTCTGCACAGGGCCCCACACACTGCCTCGGCCCCTGGCTTCTTCTCCTCTAAACTCTCCAGGTCAGGGACCATGGGTCGCCGATGGGGCAATTTCCTCAGAAAGTTCAACAGCAAGAAAACTAGGGTCGCAACTACAAACACACACAGCAACATCTTCTGGAGAAAAGTGAGCGGGGGCGTGTTCTGGCAGCAGGAACCATCAATGGGCCGGATCACTTTATTACACAGACTGTTCATCCACACCATGGCCCCCTGTGAACACACATGCAGGTTAGAAACACTCTGAAGCTGCGTTCAGACATTTATTTCGTCCATACGCACATACACACACCCAGTTGGTTAGAATATGATTTGGGTAAAATGAATAGCTTACTTATTTTAAAATGTACATCAGTCACATTATTCTATTATGTTCAAATCGGGGTCAGGCTGTTTTTCCTCTCCACAGCAGCATTTTCTGATACATTTTAACATTAAGACTAACTCTGGTGTGTGAAATATCAACTGTCCCATCCAGCTTCCCATCTGTGTGTAATAAACTTCACTCTGGAACATGTTTACTTTGTGCATGCAAGTCATGTGGACAAAGGCACAGTAGCCTTCGCTTGCCTTATGTTTAGATCATGGCAAAAGCAGATAAACTGCTGCAGACACACAGACCACATGCTTAAAATGTGTACATAATAAGCATGTGGTCTTTGAAATAGCCCTGAGACAAAACAAGGGCCTATGAGGAGTAGTCAGTCAGTGGCTCTTAGTTTTCATACTCTAGCCTGTCTTAATTCTGTTCGCATAACACCTCGTTACAGATGCACATGGCTAATTTGCATATCAGTATATCTGTTACAGGCTAACATCCCTTCCTCCTTGAAAACAGCCGCCATTATTCCTATTCCCAAACAGCCAACCTCGACTGATCAACAACTACAGACCATTGGCATTTACGCCTGCAGTGTTGAAGTGCTTTGAAAAACTGGTTCTGCATCATGTTTGAGCCAACCTCCCACCCTCCGAATCCCGTCAGTTTGCATACAGAGCTAATCAGTTGACAGAGGATGCCATTGCCATAGCAATCCACACTCCACTCAGTCATCTAGATCAGCAGCAAAGCTGAGGATGCTCTTCATAGACTTTAGGGCAGGGGTGTCCAAACTTTTTGCAAAAAGGGCCAGATTAGGTGAGGTGAAGATGTGTGGGGGCCGATCATTCTGCTTGATCATTCTTTGAACCATATAATATTATATTACATGATATAATATTAAATGCAAATTAACTATTTAATTCACTTTTACTTTTTATTGCAAATGGCTTTCACCTTTCAGAAACAAAATGAATGATACACAGGTTATAAATATGAAAAAGTGAACATTTAAACTGTGGTTTTGATAATCATAATAAAATAAATTCACTGAGATTTTACAATTTATTCACCTCAGAAAGGCTAACAAATAACTTGCCTGCACTAATGTGAAGGGTGAAACTGAGATCTGGACTGTAGTAAATAGGCCAGATCTGGCTCAAAGACAGTGGTTTTGATGCGCAAAACGTCACGCAGGTGAGAGTCATTAAGTCTTGTCCTCGTACGGTTCTTGTTAAAGTTCATAACCGAGAATGTCTTCTCACATAAATATGTCGAACCAAACAAACTCAGCATTTTCTTAGCAAATGTTCGAATTTCTTTAAATCTGTCTTTATCCAGTTGGCGATAAAAGTCAGCGAGAGGGAGCTGCTGGTGCCGACTGCGACACTCGTCATCACACTGCAGCTCAATAAGCGCAGGTGTTCTGTAGCGTTATCGGGTTCCACGGAGAAGGGAAAGGAAAAAAGCGTGATTTCCTTTTCAATTGCCGCAAAATCCCGAAAGCGCTCTCTGAATTCCTCAGCCAGAGATGAGATGTCTGCTGCATACCTCCTCATTTGCGCACTGATGTTGTTACGTGGAATATTGGTCAATATTTCCTGCAGCGCTGGGAAATGTGTGGTATTGGGTGGGGTTTGTAACAGGTGCCTTTCGAAAAGTTGCAGTTTGGTCCCAAAGGCATGTGCGAATAGAGTTGGCTTACCATTGCATTTTGCCCTTGAAGATTTGTGTTAAGCGTGTTCAAGTGTCGTATTATATCAACTAAAAATCCAAAATCAGCCTGCAAAACGGGATCGGATAATTCTGCCATTGGTTGTCCCTTTTCTGTCAAGAATTGTCCGATTTCCTCCTTAAGAGAGTAGAAGCGCTGCAGCGCAGACCCCCGACTGAGCCATCTTACGTCGCTGTGATACAAAACATCTCCGTATTCGGCCTGGATGTCAATCATAAACTGCTGAAACTGGCGGTGGCACAGGGCTTTGGAGCGAATGTAATTAATAGTTTTTACCACTGGTTTCATAACGTGATCATATTTGAGATGTTTGGCACAGAGAACCTGTTGGTGAATAATGCAGTGGAGTTTTATAGCTTTTCCTCCTTCTTCGCTGACTTTGTTACAGACGAGGGTTGCTAATCCACTTCGCTCGCCAGCCATGGCAGGTGCACCGTCCGTAATAATCCCAGTTACTTTATTCCACGATAGTTTCATGTCATCTACGGCAGAACAAAGTGAAACAAATAAATCTGTTCCCCTTGTTTGGCTCTTTAGGCTGCAAAGATCAGGTAGCTCTTCCCTCACATTCATTTCACTGTCCACTCCTCTCAAAAAAATCAGTAACTGGGCAGTATCAGATGCGTCCGTGCTTTCGTCGCAGGCTAGCGAAAAAAAGTCAAACTCCACTACTTTTGCCTCAAATTGTCTCTTAATATCCGATGAAATGTCTTCAATTCGCCGTACCACAGTGCTACGAGCCAGGCAAACATTGGTAAACTCTTGCTTCTTTTCAGGACAAATGTTCTGCACGATTTTCATCATGCAGTCTTTCACAAATTCACCCTCAGTAAAAGGTTTGCAGTGCTTCGCGATCAGCGTTGCCACCTCATAGCTCGTCTTTGTCGCGTTTTCATTCGACTCATGGGCTCTTGTAAAGAAACGCTGTTGTGCTGCTAACACAGCCTCAAGTTGCTTTAATTTTTCACGGCGTTCGCACCCAGTTAGCTTGTCGTAGTTAGCATGTTTCGTCTGGTAGTGCCGCTTGATATTGAATTCTTTAAAAAGCGACAGTCTCCTGACAAATTAGGCAGACACAGTTGTTTCGGATTTCTGTGAAAAAATATGCCAAATTCCACTTTTCCTGGAAGCGACGGCCCTCATTGTCGACTTTCCTTTTTTTCATGTGAGTGTCCATTTTGGAAGTGGTCAGGAAAGGGTGGGGCAAGGCCAAAGGTATAGCGAGAGCGCGGTCTCAGAGCACAGCTCGAATCTACTGCCATCTGCTGGTGAAATATAATATTGCATATATATGTGTATTTTACACTGGTGTTTAGCGCTGACGGGCCACACATAATTATTTTTATTCCAGAGGCTGCGTGCCAGTGGAAATTTGTACACGGGCCGCAACTGGCCCCCGGGCCGGACTTTGGGTATGCCTGCTTTAGGGCTTTCTCCCTCCATCTCTAACTGGATTGAGAATTTTCTTTCAAACAGGTCCCAGTTCAGCAAGCTTGGCCCCCACACTTCCAACATCATCATGCTGCACACTGGGGCACCTCAGGGGTGTGTGTTGAGTCCAGTCCTTTACACACTGTATACACACAACTGTACCTCCACCCATCCCACCACAACCATATCTTTAAGGGGTACACAGTAGGGTTGTCCCATTCTGATCACGTGATCAGAAATTGGTGCTGATCACGTGACTGCGGACTATCTGGACTTGGACATTATGTGCCGATTAGGTATCGGATAAATAATATATATATAAAACACACACAAGATGCAACAGTTTTTCTGAGGCGTGGGATTTGCTCAGGGAGAGGCGCACTTACGCTGGGACTTTTGGGCCATGTCGTGCTCAGGCACTGTTTAGGGTGACCATTTGTCCGGATTTCGGCCGGACAGTCCAGTTTTACAGCCTTCTTTCCAGACCTGTGTTATGCGTCCTTTGACATTTTGTCCTCATTTTGGATCCTCGGCTGCCACCGTTGCATTCATGACCACAAATCCCTGCATTCAACATACTATTTGGCAACAACATGAGCCAGAAGCCCTTGATAGTGTACGACAAGGCAGTTACGTCGCCCGATTGGCGTCACCGGGCCTCACCCTGGAGCCAGGCCTGGGGTGGGCTCGCCAGCGAGCGCCTGGTGGCCGAGCCTCCCCCACGGGGCTCGGCCGGGCTCAGCCCGAAGGAGCGACGTGGGGCCGTCCTCACGTGGGCCCACCACCCGCAGGAGGATCCATATGGGGCCGGTGCAGAGAGATCTGGGCAGCAGTCGACGGCGGGGGCCTCGGCGACCGGATCTCCGGACATGGAGACTAGCTCTGGGGACATGGAATGTCACCTCGCTGGGGGGGAAGGAGCCTGAGCTTGTGCGGGAGGTTGAGCGTTACCGACTAGATATAGTCGGCCTCACCTCCACGCACAGTTTGGGCTCTGGAACCCAACTCCTTGAGAGGGGCTGGACTCTCCATTTCTCTGGCGTTGGCCGCGGGGAGCGGCGGCGGGCTGGTGTGGGCCTGCTCATTGCCCCACAGCTCAGCCGCTGTGTGTTGGAGTTCACCCCGGTGAACGAGAGGTCGCGTCCCTGCGCCTTCGGGTCGGGGACAGGTCTTCACTGTGGTGTCGGCCTACGGGCCGAACAGCAGTGCTGAGTACCCGGCCTTCTTGGAGTCCTTGGGAGGGGTACTAGACAGTGCACCGACCAGGGACTCCGTTGTTCTCCTGGGGGACTTCAACGCTCACGTGGGCAACGACAGTGACACTTGGAGAGGGGTGATTGGGAGGAACGGCCTCCCGATCTGAACCCGAGTGGTGTTTTGTTATTGGACTTCTGTGCTAGTCACAGTTTGTCCATAAACAAACACCATGTTCGAGCACAAGGGTGTCCATAAGTGCACGTGGCACCAGGACACCCTAGGCCGGAGGTCGATGATCGACTTTGTCGTCGTGTCATCTGATCTCCGGCCGCGTGTCTTGGACACTCGGGTGAAGAGAGGGGCTGAGCTGTCAACTGATCACCACCTGGTCGTGAGTTGGGTTCGCTGGCGGAGGAGGAAGCCGGAAAGACCTGGCAGGCCCCAAGCGTGTAGTGAGGGTCGGTTGGGAACGTCTGGCGGAGCCCTCTGTCAGAGGGACCTTCAACTCGCACCTCCGGGAGGACTTCTCCCGGATTCCGGGGGAGGCTGGAGATATGGAGTCCGAGTGGGCTTCATTCTCGGCCTCTATTGTCAATGCAGCTGCTCGGAGCTGTGGGCGTAAGGTCTGTGGTGCCTGTCGCGGCGGCAACCCAGAACCCGGTGGTGGACACCGGAAGTAAGGGATGCTGTCAAGCTGAAGAAGGAGTCCTATCGGGCCTTGCTGGCTCGGGGGACTCCTGAGGCAGCTGACAGGTACGGCGGGCCAAGCGTGCTGCAGCCCGTGTGGTCGCGGAGGCAAAAACTCGGAGCTGGGAGGAGTTCGGGGAGGCCATGGAGAAGGACTATCGGACGGCCTCAAAGAGAATTCTGGCAAACCGTCCGGCGCCTCAGGAGGGGAAAGCAGTTCTTCACCAACACTGTTTACAGTGCGGGGGGAGAGCTGTTGACCTCGACTGGGGACGTTGTCCGGCGGTGGAAGGAATACTTTGAGGATCTCCTCAATCCCACCGTCACGTCCTCCGAGGAGGAGGCCGAGGCTGGGGACTCGGAGGCGGACTCATCCATCACCCTGGCCGAAGTCACTGAGGTGGTTGGCAAGCTCCTTGGTGGCAAGGCTCCGGGGTTGGATGAGATCCGTCCTGAGTACCTGAAGTCTCTGGATGTTGTGGGGCTGTCTTGGCTGACACGCCTCTTCAACATCGCGTGGCGGTCGGGGACAGTACCTCTGGACTGGCAAACCGGGGTGGTGGTCCCTCTGTATAAGAAGGGGGACCGGAGGGTGTGTTCCAACTATAGGGGGATCACACTTCTCAGCCTTCCCGGTAAGGTCTATGCCAGGGTACTGGAGAGGAGAATCCGGCCGATAGTCGAACCTCGGATTCAGGAGGAGCAGTGTGGTTTTTCGTCCTGGCCGTGGAACACTGGACCAGCTCTACACTCTCCATAGGGTGCTCGAGGGTTCATGGGAGTTTGCCCAACCAGTCCACATGTGTTTTGTGGATCTGGAGAAGGCATTCGACCGTGTCCCTCGTGGTGTCCTGTGGGGGGTGCTCTGGGAGTATGGGGTCCGGGGCCCTTTGCTAAGGGCTGTCCGGTCCCTGTATGACCGGAGCAGGAGCTGTGTTCGCATTGCCGGCAGTAAGTCAGACCTGTTCCCGGTGCATGTTGGACTCCGCCAGGGCTGCCCTTTGTCACCGGTTCTGTTCATTGTATTTATGGACAGAATTTCTAGGCGCAGTCAGGGGCCGGAGGGGGTCCGGTTTGGGGACCACAGGATTTCATCTCTGCTGTTTGCGGACGATGTTGTCCTGTTGGCTTCATCGAACCAGGACCTGCAATGTGCACTGGGGCGGTTTGCAGCCGAGTGTGAAGCGGCTGGGATGAAGATCAGCTCTTCAAGTCCGAGGCCATGGTTCTCGACCGGAAAAGGTGGCTTGCCCTCTCCGGGTGGGTGGGGAGTCTTTGCCTCAAGTGGAGGAGTTCAAGTATCTCGGGGTCTTGTTCACGAGTGAGGGAAGGACGGAACGTGAGATTGACAGGCGGATCGGTGCAGCTTCGGCAGTGATGCGGTCGCTGTATCGGACCGTTGTGGTGAAGAGGGAGCTGAGTCGAAAGGCGAAGCTCTCGATTTACCGGTCAGTCTTCGTTCCTACTCTCACCTATGGTCATGAGCTCTGGGTAGTGACCGAAAGGACGAGATCGCGGATACAAGCGCTCGAAATGAGTTTCCTCCGCAGGGTGGCTGGGCGCTCCCTTAGAGATAGGGTGAGGAGCTCAGTCACACGGGAGGAGCTCGGAGTAGAGCCGCTGCTCCTCCACGTCGAGAGGAGCCAGTTGAGGTGGCTCGGGCATCTGTTCCGGATGCCTCCTGGGCGCCTCCCTCGGGAGGTGTTCCGGGCATGTCCCGCCGGAGAGGAGGCCCCGGGGAAGACCCAGGACACGCTGGAGGGACTATGTCTCTCGGCTGGCCTGGGAACGCCTCGGGGTCCCCCCGGAGGAGCTGGAGGACGTGTCTGGGGTGAAGGAAGTCTGGGAGTCCCTGCTTAGGCTGCTCCCCCGCGACCCGGCCCCGGATAAGCGGACGAAAATGGATGGATGGATGATGAGCACCACAAAGCCACCAGCACACGCACCAGCATCGCATCGCCGCATGCGTCATCATAAAAAAGTTTTTAGCTTCGCCGTAGGGCAAAATATGCGTGCAGTGGAGCCAGGCCTCAAGGCGGCTCCACCGACAGCTGCAGCAGGACGTACATGCGCAGCACTGGCTCTGTGTTTTTCAATGTAAAGCCAATCAAACTTGACTGGGCACATTCAGCCACTTATATCAAGTCTACAGTGAAACTGCCAGCTGAGCAGACTTGTTTTACCTTCTGTACAGTCGGACCACGGCAAACGCAAGGATTTCAACAGTAAATTTTGAAGCACTTATTAACAGCCTTTCTGGACCTGGGCTCTTTCACACAACACAGACAAACCAAAGATTCATGCTCTGTGTATTTTGATGGGGAAAAAACAGCATAGATCTATTTTCTGAAATCTACGCGTGCAGGACGCGCTGCTCCATACGCGCATCTAGCGCATGCACTGGAGCTGCCCTCATTCACTTTCCATTCTAAAAGTTACGCGTCCAAAAATTGCAGTTTTTACACTCGCGTAGGGTGAAAAACACGTGCAGTGGAGCCAGACCCTTATGCACTTCAACGCTGACGTGCAGTGGAGCCAGGCCCACTGGATAGGCAGGTGTTGGGAAGATGAATGATGATAGTAATGATAATAGTGATAAGTGGTTGTATAGGGACATTTGATTTTTCACAGGTTCAGTCCCAAATACTACACACTGAAATCAATACAATCTGACCCATGCAAACGCACCTTTGCAAATATTCCTACCAGTATATTATCCACTGGACCACCGACTCACTGTATAAAATAGACTTATTATTTGTAAGACAGAAGATGCACGCAAACTGAGTAGTAAAACTATTATGAAACTCTTTTTGAAGGGGTTTGGGTGGGCCTGTGGTATTTGGGTGGGCCTAGGTCTGTGGGGGGGTGTTGCTAGCATGCATTTTTAGTCAGTTGAAATCATAGACAGTATAAAAGAAGTGGACTAAATGAGTGTGATGTCATGAGCATTAAGCACCGCTCAAATGAGACTCGCGATGCTCACGGTTAAAGGAGCGAATCTGGAGCCAGGCTCTGTTATGAATAGAGCGGGTCAATACAAACATTTTAAAAGACAAAATGACGAGGCTCACTGCAGCAGACAGAGAGACGGGCACAAGATCCTAATTTAAGTCAATTGGAGCCAGAGTCAGAAGGAGCCGGAAAGCCCCTGGAGAACTTCTTATTTGGCACACAGCAGTTAGCTAGAGCGTTACTATGTTCACTCATATATATGGTCTATGGTTAAAATGGAAGACCAGGGGGAGGGGCCTGCTGCACCGGCCAAATGTGGACTCACTGGGCCTTCCCAAGCATACAGACTGCCAGTCCGAGCCTGTCCGCACACCAGTGCAGGACAGGTAGGTTATCAAACTGAGCCTGG